TAATGAATTATTGTTATTCTCTAAAACATTGGCTTCAAATGGTGGTATAAAAACATTATATAATGCTCGAACTGAGTTATTAAAAAAAACATTTTAAAGAATTACAACTTTGCCCAAAGGTGCACACAATCAACTGCGAATGTAATGTTACAAAAATTGTTGAATGCTATTTACAAGACGTACCTAGTGCTGTTGAACATATAAGATGCGAAAACTGTGAAGAAAGTACAAAAACATCACCAACAATCATCCTATCATTAAATAATCATACAGATACATTTGAAAAGATGATACAAAATTATTTAAAAGTTAAACAATCAGTGTGTTTTGAGTGTCGAGGAATGAAATTTTCAACCAGAATACTGAAACAACATATTTTTATTGAGACAGAATATATGACAAATATGACTATACCAATAAAAGATTTTCCAAAAATAGTTAATGAAAAGTAAAGATTTAACTTAAGAATATTTTAATTTTTTTTTTTAAATATCAATTGTTTTTATTTCACAGGTATCATTTGGTAGCTATTGTTAATTTCTTCGCAGAACATTACACGACATAGGTACATACGAAGAATTTCAAAAAAATGTTTGGGAGATTCACAATGATCTCTCCCRAAAAATAAAGATTGCAACATCAGAAAATGAAATTCTAAATCCCCATATATTAATGTATATTTTAGCATTACAGATAATAATAATAATAGTTTTATTTATTTATATATGTCTCAAGACCCAACTATTTAATTAACAGTTTATTATTAATTGTTTATTATTTTAATACATTTTTATTTTAAATTATATTATATATTAAGTTTAAATAGATACTACATTATATAAAATATGTTATTTGAATACTACTAACTGTTATTTTTATTTCATACATTTCATGATGTACAATTATTTTATAACTTATCAAAGTATGTACCTAACTACTTATTTTAATTTTTAATTTTGGTTTATACATTTATTTGTTTGCTWTGAATATAAAATAATTGTATGTACTAATATAGATTTTTGTAACTCCTGTTAGGTATAGAACAAAATAATTTGATAGAATCAATCTTTAATTTATTACTACTTATTTATAAATTCCAGGTAAAAAAAATAAAACCTAACAATAACAAAATAACTCATATGTAATAAATTACTATAAAAAAATAATAATGAATAAGTGTACATTTGTTGAAGTAAATACAATATTGTCAAATGTMAATTATTATGTATAGTTTAGCAGTGATCAGATTTTTTTTTAGACATATCAGAAAATCGTTTTACTTGCTTTTAGTTTATGATGTTTTTTTGTGAGCTTATTGGATTAAAATGGGCATATTAAAAATGTATTACACCTATGGTTCCTTATTTAGCTAAGAATCAGAATGATTTACAAATGTAAGCACTAATAAGCTGATATTATATARTTTTGTTCATGATATTCAGGGCTTCAAAACGTTTTTATAACGTTACGAGAATAACGCTAAACGATTCAAAAAACGATTGAAATTGATAACGGATAACATATCGGTAAACGACAAATGATTGAAATGGATAACGGAACAGTWACGATAAACGATTAAAATTAATATCGAATAACGTAACAAAAAACGATTAACGATTTAAGTTAAATCATAACAAACATGTCTCCGAGACTCCGGCGTGGAGTGTATGACCGTGAGTTGTCTCGATTAACGTCTAATGTTTGTTATTTTCCCAAAATTGTGTTATATTCTTATATTAACTTATAAATTATTATCTTATTTTAAGTACAAAGTCTTAACAGTATCTTATTGCAATAAAATTAAATTTTTTATTTGATAATTATGCCGAAAATTAAATCCAATCCGGTAGAACGAATGTTTTTTAAATATGATAATCACAGCAATGAAAGTACATGCCAAATTTTGAATTGTGCAAATCYGGTTCGCACAGGAAATCATTCTGGAAATCTAGAGAGCCATATCAAAAATTTTCATAAAGAACAGTATATTTTGCTAACTAATGAAAAAAAAAAAAAATCAGAATGATGATGGAAGTTACTCAACAGCTAAGGTAAGTAGTTTTAAATTTTAAATTTTAGTTTTTAWGAAATCAATTTTATATTAGTTAGGTATTACCATAATCTTAAAATTTGGTAACTTGATTGTTTGAGATTATTATTATAATTTTCTACAATTTTCAGAAACTAAAAACTAATCAAACTGGACCTCTTGACAATATGGTAATTAGAACTAAAAAAAAATTAAATCAAGTAGATTTGGACAAGAATAAAGTGATARTGTCCTGTATCCAATTAGTTACCACAAATGGTAGACCATTCCAATTGTTAGACGATTCTGGCTTTAGATTAATTATGAATCCTATATTTGAAGCTATTGGTGACGGTGAGTTATTTTTAAATTTTTAATATAATTTAACTAATTTCCGTAATAAGTGTTGTATTCTAGACTGTGAGTTTTTAATCGGTGGTTCATGTATTACTAGGGGGTCCTTATATAGTGCTATATAGTTACTCAAGGGTTTACTGAGTGGCTATGAGTTTTTTTTTTCAAATAACCCAGAAGTAAATTTGTTGTATATTAATTTATATTTTTCAATGTATTAATATTGTCTGTTAAATATTTTTATTAATTTTATTTTTTGAACGCTTTGGTTTATCACATAAGATTTCAAAATAAACTCTCAAAACATAAAAATGTATGTAAATGAATATGCCAAAACCATTATTGATAATATAACTCAAAATATTGACAAAAAAATGATTTCACTTAAAGTTGACTGTCACAAGACTGAACAGATCTATTATCGGTGTTAATATTCAGTATTTCAAAGATTTGCAATTGCAAATAAAAACTATTGGAATGACTGAACTATCTGAAAGACATACATCCGAACATTTAAAAGAAGTGGTAAGTAATACATACCTAATAATATATACCTGATTTTAAGTTTTAACTATAATATCCACTTTAGTTTATCAAATTTATTTAGTTTAATATTCCTAAATTATTTGATATTTGTTTTTAAGTTGCTACAAATTTAAAAAAAAATTTAACATTCATAATCGTCAAGTGATTTCTATCACGTGTGACAATGGAGCAAATATTGTTAAAATGGTGAGAATATTCAACGACAATGAAGAAACTACTGATGATGAATCTGAAAGTGAGGAAATAGAAAATATTAACCTAAATGGTAACTACAATATTAATCTTTATTTTTTAATTAAAAATTGTTCACTTGGCTATAAACAATATTTACTTGTCTTGTAATATTTTCAACTTTTTGTATAGATAATGATGGACTTTTAACCGACAATCAAGTCAATGATATGATAAATGAAGCGGAAATGAATTTGGATGCTGACAATTTAGAACACGAGATTGCTTCAGTTCTTAATCCTTATTATGAACCGTTACCTCTTACTCAATGTATTAGATTCTCAGCTCACACATTGCAATTATGTATTGAGAGTGGGCTTCTACAACCAGTGAACTTGAACATCATAACAAAAGCACGAAAGGTATGTTACTTATCATTTATTTTATATTTAAAAGTATAAACTATGTTATAAGTTACAACAGTTACAACTTATAAGTTATAATTATAAGCATATCTGGTAATCAAACTATGATTTCCAGCTGTTATAACTTGTAATATTATTGTAATATCTACTAACATTGGTACATTACCTATAACTTAAGTTTTAATTCTTACTTGGCTAATATATTCATGATCAAATCAATAGTATTATTATATTCAATTTTAAACGGTTTTTCAATTTATACATAAATATATATTATAGCCTATAGGTATTGTATTATACTATTTATTTCATTTCAAATAAAATACAAATGCAGAACAACAATAACTAAAAACTAGTATATAACTGAACCTTTAATATGATTAAAAGATGATTCTTTATTTATTACTACCATAGGTATATCATATAAATAATAATTAAAACTTAAAAAGTTTTTTCATTTAAAATAATTATTTTCTTAATCAGTTGATTTTGTTGTTTGTGATACAAATATAGGTTGTGAAAACACTTAGAACGCAATCGTATGTTGCATTATTAAAAAAAAAGATGGTTTAAAACAGGCTATACTTGATAATATTACAGATGGAGTTTAGTATTTAATGTTACTTAGATTACTTGAACTTTAAACTTTTTGTAAAGATCATCAACAAATAAATCATGATTTGAAGTTAAACAATAATGAATGGAGACAGATTGAATCTTTGGTAATATATAAATTATAACATTGATTACCTACCATTTTTKTTATTATATTTAAAACTTTGTACAGATAAAATCTCTTGAACCAGTTTATCTAGCTACTAAAATGCTTCAAAAGAGAGATTTAACTATAGGAGATTTTTATGGGATTTGGATCCAGACCAAAAATAAATTAAATCAAATTAATTCTACGGTATCATTATCTATTCTAAATAATATGAAAATATGTGAAGTTCAGTTGTTGGAAAATGATATAGTTATTTCAGGTAGATAATAGTATAATACTCACTGTCCACTATATTGTACATTTTGTAGATATATTACATTTAAACATAATATTGTATTTTTGTATTTTATTTTAAAGCTGTATACATGAATCCACGCAGGGCCGTCCCGAAAGACAAATCATGGGGGGGCTTGATTCATTAATTTGCCAACTCAAAAAAAAAAAATTTTCTCGCTCCGCTCGAGTTATAATTATTATTATTAATTTATTAACATACATCTCAATAACTCATAAACATAGGCATACATATTATACACTATTCAATACCTATTTATTGCTCTTCACCAGTACATAGTCACTATACCTAGTCAAATGAATTTTTGGATATTGGTCAGCATTACCAAAAGTAGGTACGTACACAAGATTAGGTAAAATAAAAACTTAAAACATACAATTTTATGAGTATTTAATCACTAAATAAATTAGGTAATAAATATGCATGTATCACAATAAATAATAATATATACAATTTTTAAAATTGAATTCTTCTTTGTTTTATATTGAACCACTGTGTTGCTATTTTACTTACATCAACTGTATCTAAAATATCTTTTTCAATACTTAACAGCATTAGGGAATCTAATCTATTGTCTGTCATTGTAGATCTTAAATGATTTTTTATCAGTTTAAGTTTGCTAAATGTCCGTTCATTAGTAGCTACACTTACCGGTGCAGTTAATGCTAATCGACAAATATTATAAGCTAATGGTAGGATATGTTTAACTTCTTCACATTTTTCAAACACACTGAGAAAATTTGTTGTCATAGTTAAACTCAAATCWTTGCATATTTCTTTTAATATTTCCAATTCAGTTTGAATGGCATCAATATCCTTGCACTTTGCAAAATCACTGTTAGGAGGAAATATTAACAAAGCATTTTGTATATTTTCAATGCTCATATTTTCATTCTTGAATGGAAATGAGAATATTTTATACAGTGGCATTATTGTATCAATAAATACTTTTAAATTGTCTTTAGACAAATTAATAAGTGTAGACAGTATACATTTGAACTCTTTTTTGTAAAATATATGAAAAGTTAAATCAGCTTGAGTACCAGCATTTTTGTCCAACCAAGTGGGCTGTTTTCTTGTACGGTGATGAACTTTGAAATCAGATTCTGAATCTATACCAAGATTTGCTGCGAACAAGGTTGCGCTGTCAATCAGATCATTTATTCTTTCTGAATCTGAATTAATATCTTCTAAATTTTTAATTGTAGCCTCTATTAAAAWAGCAGCATCAATTACGCATAAACTTTTTGTTTCTAATGTCTCGGTTAGTGATTTCAATTTATACATTATATTTTTCATAAATACCAAGGAGACAATGAAGTCAAATGAATGCATCTTTTTATTAATGCCAAATGCTTTTGTCCTAGTATTTCTATCGAATATCTCAGGATGTGAACAAATATATTGTAAAGTGTTACATATAGCTTCATATGAAGCCCAAACAGCTTTAATGGACTCTGCACGGGCTGTCCATCTTGTTTTGGATAAGTTTCTTAGTTGTAATGTATTATCAACATTGTTCATTTGCTTATTCAATACACTATACCTTTTATTACTAGCTGAAAAAAATACATAAAGGTTTTCCAAGTTATTAATCATATCTGACACAATTAAACTAGAATTACATGCATGTTCTAAAAATGTGTTCATCCGATGCGCTTGACATGGAATATAAAAAACACTATGACCAACTAGTTCTGAAAGCTTAGCTTGTGTACCGTTAAACTGCCCAGACATGTTACTAGCATAATCATATGACTGAAATACCAAATTATCTGTTCCTAAAGAATGTTTAGTTAAAATTTCAATAATCTGTTTAGCTGTTCCTAAGC